TCCGTGGACAGGGCCACGAGCGGTACTTCCTGCTGGTTGTCGACGACTACACGCGCTACACCACGGTCTTCCCCTTGCGCACCAAGGGTGAGGTCCCTGATGTTTTGATCCCTTGGATCCGCGCTGGTCGTCTCCAGCTCCGCGACCGGTTCCAGTCGGACTTTCCCGTCCTGCGTCTGCACTCTGACCGAGGTGGTGAGTTTTCCTCTGACCTCTTGGCAGCCTACTGTGCGGAGCATGGCATCCGCCAGACGTTCACGCTTCCGGCCTCAACACAGCAGAATGGGGTTGCTGAGCGCCGCATTGGCTTGGTCATGGAGATCGCTCGTACCTCCTTGATCCATGCGGCTGCCCCCCATTTCCTGTGGCCGTTTGCAGTCCAGTACGCTGCGCATCAGCTCAACCTCTGGCCCCGTGTCTCCGCTCCGGAGACCTCGCCCACACTGCTGTGGACGGGGCAGGTTGGCGATGCGTCGCGTTTCCGGGTCTGGGGTGCTCGTGCCTTTGTCCGCGATACCACTGCGGACAAGCTCTCCGCCCGCGCTGTTCCTTGTGTCTTCCTTGGCTTTGTCCCCGACGCGCCTGGTTGGCAGTTTTACCACCCCACCTCGCGCCGTGTCTTCCCCTCTCAGGACGTCACCTTTGACGAGTCGGTACCCTTTTACCGTCTGTTCCCCTACCGCACTGCTCCGCTCCCTCCCCCGCCTCTCTTCCTCACCCCAGGTGCCCCTCCGGTAGACCCCCTCCCTCCCCAGGGTCCTGCTCCCTCAGGTGTTTCCCAGGTAGATGCATCTGAGCCTGTCGAGGTAGCTGTTGACTCTGGTCCTGAGCGGGGTACTGAGCCTGAGGGTACTGAGACTGGGGGTGCTGAGCCTGGGGGTGCTGCGCCTGGGGGTGCTGAGACTGAGGGTGCTGAGACTGGGGGTGCTGAGCCTGGGGGTGCTGCGACTGGGGGTGCTGCGCCTTTGAGTACTGAGACTGGGGGTACTGCGGCTGGGGGTGCTGAGCCTAGGGGTACTGAGCCTGGGGGTGTTGACCCTGTTGGTGCTCCCTCTTCACAGCAGCTACGTGAGTGGTACGCTCGGCGCTGCAGCCTCCGGGGTGGAGCTCCTAGTTTTGAGTTACCACCTGCTGGAGGCCTGTCTGCTCCTGGAGGTGCTGCTGGTACTACTGGAGGTTCTGGAGCTGTTGGAGGTGCTGCTGGTGCTGCTGGAGGTGCTACTGGAGCTGCTGGAGGTGCTGCTGGTGCTGCTGGAGGTACTGGAGCTACTGGAGGTGCTGCTGGTGCTGCTGGAGGTACTGGAGCTGCTGGAGCTCCTAGTGGTGCTCCTGGTCCTGGGACTGGTGGTGCTGCTGGAGCTGGTACTACTGGAGGTACTGACGTTGACACTCCTGGGGGTGCTACTGGTGCTGCGGGAGTTGGAGCTGCTGCTGGGGGTTCTGGTGCTGTCTCTGCTGGTTCTGGGGGCACGTCACGGCCGCGTCCGTACTTCGTTCCGCTCCTTCAGCAGGTTCTTGGTCGGTCTCCTCCTTCTTGTCCTGCTCCCTCCTTAGAGTGTCCTTCGCCTGTCCGGTTGCAGTCACTGTTACAGCCCACCTCACCACTTCCTGGTCCCTCTCCCTACACTGGTCCGACAGGAGGTCTTACGGAGCGTCGTGAGCCTGAGTCTCGTCCTGTGTCGCCTGAGTCTCGTTCTGCGTCACCTGTTCGTCCTGCTCGGCCTGGTCGTCGTGTCCCGCGTCAGCGTCCTCCTGCTGTCCCCGGCACTCACCAGATGCTGCTTCGTCTTTCCACTGCTCCACGGCGTGTCCCTCTGCCTTCTCCTCCTGCGTCCTCCCTTCCTGCTCTTGCTGACCCTGAGTCTGACTCTCTTCGTGCTGCTAGTCCTGCTGTCACGCGTCTCCTGTCCACAGCTGTCACTGACCCTTCCTTTGAGTCAGCTGCTGCGTCTGCCTTAGTTACTGAGCTTGTCGTGTTGTCGACTTTGCTGCTCACTGTAGACTAGACTACGCTGCCAGTCTTGTTGCTGCGTCTGAGTCTGTCTGTCCTCCGTCCGTCGGGGGTGAGTGTGCTCTTGGCACGGACGTCCTTGAGGACAGGCAGGAGGAGTTTGAGTGCTTTGCCGCCGCTGTACCTCATCTCGTGTCCATGCTGATTGCACCTGAGGGAGACCCGGATGCTCCAGACATCCCGACCCCGCGCTCTTACGCTGAGGCGATCGCGGGTGAGTACTCCTCTCAGTGGCAGACAGCCATGGATGCAGAGATGGCATCCTGGAAGTCCACTGGCACTTACGTCGATGAGGTTCCCCCTCCTGGGGCGAACATCGTCAGTGGCATGTGGATTTTCAGGGTGAAGCGGCCGCCAGGTTCTCCGCCTGTCTTCAAGGCTCGGTACGTTGCTCGAGGCTTCAGTCAGCGCCAGGGAGTTGACTTCTTTCAGACCTTCTCCCCCACCCCGAAGATGACCACTCTTCGGGTGCTGCTGCACGTTGCCGCTCAGCGTGACTACGAGCTTCACTCTCTTGACTTCAGCACAGCTTTCTTGCAGGGCAGTCTGCACGAGGAGATCTGGCTGCGCCGCCCTCCTGGCTTCACTGGGTCGTTCCCTCCTGGTACCCAGTGGAGCCTCCGGCGGCCGGTCTACGGTCTCCGCCAGGCTCCACGTGAGAGGCACGACACACTGAGGACTACACTTGCGGCTCTTGGGTTCTCGTCTTCTACTGCCGACCCGTCGCTGTTTCTGCGCACCGACACTTCACTGCCGCCGTTCTACATCCTCGTGTACGTCGACGACTTGGTCTTTGCCACTGCTGACACTGAGGCTCTCACCCACGTGAAGTCGGAGCTGCAGAAGAGACACACGTGCACAGACCTGGGTGAGCTGACAAGCTATCTTGGCTTGCGGATCACCCGGGACAGAGCACGCCGCACCATCACACTGACTCAGTCACACATGGTGCAGCAGGTCCTTCAGCGCTTCGGCTTCACCTGGTCCTCAGCACAGGCCACTCCTCTGGCTATAGGTCACTCGCTCTCAGCTCTGCCTTCGGATGAGTCCGTAGAGCCGAGTGGTCCTTACCCAGAGCTAGTTGGTTGCCTCATGTACCTGATGACTTGCACTCGTCCTGACCTAGCATACCCTCTTGGCCTTCTGGCCCGCTATGTGGCTCCTGGCAGGCACCGAAAGGTGCACTGGGATGCTGCAAAGAGGGTATTGCGCTACTTGTGCAGTACATCGGGCATGGGGCTCGTGCTTGGAGGGAGGCGCTCAGTTGTTCTCACTGGGCACTCAGACGCTTCTTGGGTTGACGACCAGGCTACTCAGCGGTCGTCACAGGGTTACACCTTCAGTCTTGGCTCTGGTTCAATTTCTTGGCGTTCTACTCGCTCGTCTTCAGTTCTCAGCTACAGTTGTGAGGCTGAGATCTACGCCACAGCCATGGCTGCACAGGAGTTACGCTGGCTGACCTACCTGCTGACCGACTTGGGAGAGCGGCCTAGTTCTCCTCCAGTGCTGTACGTCGACAACAAGGCTGCCATTGCCTTGTGTCAGGAGCACAGACTGGAGCACAGAACGAAGCACATCGCTCTCCGTTACTTCCTGGCTCGAGAGCTGCAGCAGCGCGGTCAGCTTTGTCTGCGCTACGTGGCCACTCGGGCCAACACCGCTGATATATTCACCAAGGCACTTCAGCCTGGTGATCATCAGCGCTTCTGCACTGTACTGGGGCTTGTGCCCACTGTTCCTCACTTACTGTAGGCTTTGTGTGTACTGTGATGTCTATATATATATACCTGCTTGTTTATTTTGTTAGGTTGAGATCACCTTGCTGTTTGTGTTGTATATATGACTCTGCATTTGAACTGGCCCTGTGGCCCTTTGCTTGTGCTCAGATTGTGTGGTGACGTTGTGATCCACCCTGAGCTTGCTTTGCCTTTCTTGACTGGTCTTGTGACCCCTTGCTTTCCCCACTTTGCCTATGGGGGTGTGTCAAACATTATCTATATGTTATTGTTGTGTAGGCTATAGTGGGTTAGCCTTTAGGGGGTACACAACTCTAGGGTTTCATACTTGTACTCCATCTTTCATAGTTCAATCACTTCTTGATTCTGACAATCCGGTGTATTGATTTTTTTTTTTTAAAGCGCGCCAACGGTGGTCAACGTGGCCGAGCCACTCGCGTCTCTGCGGGAGGGGTGTGGCTCAGAGTTACGCAAGTGTGGAGGAGCCGATCGGGTGCTCTGACATAGGCGGGAAGAACACCAGATCTGGGGTGTGTTGACCAGATCTAGAGAAGTTGTGGCGGGAAGAGAGGAGTGTCAGAATGTTATAGTGCTTACATTTGTGTAGGCTATAGTGGGGTAGCCCATAAAAGGTACAACCCAATTAAGGTTAGTACTTGTACCCAACTCTTTCACAGTTCATTCATCCTCGTTCGTTATTTTGACATGGTATCAGAGCAGGTCCTTCGTTAGGACCGATTTTCTTGGGCTCACCACAGCGCTGCCCAACTAGCCGCCCTGCTGCCATGGCCTATTTTATCAATGTAAATCACACTGCTATACTGATGAGAAGGGTGAAATTTAGGGCCTACACTAATGTGTTTGGGTATTTTTTTTGAAACTTAGTAATACACTGATTTGACAGTGAAACGATTTAGGCCACACTGATGCTCTGGGGTAAATTTTCCCTTAGCGAATTTACCCTTAAGTGCGTACAGGGCACCCCCCCCCCCCTTCATTCCCGAAATTTGTCGGAGCGTGATTTCCGTCAATCACGCAAGTACCGAAGCGGCCTTCCCTGCAATATATGCGTTGGCAACAGTCATGTGTGTAATTGGTCACTTTTTTATGTTTCGATATCCTGCACGCCAAGGAAAGGAATGTTGGCATCACATACAGTTTCGCAACACTCAGCCATTCCTCCAGCCAACTCCAAAAACCACTGTTTTTTTTGCCACTCTGTCTAGCATCCACACGTTCTCCACCCCGTAGCCATGGCAGCGCCTAGCGACGATGACGCTGACGATGCCGATGGCGACCCCTTAGTCGAGATAGGTAGCTTAGTAGGAAGGAATGAGTTGGATTAGGGCAAGGAGGGGGGATACAATGAAGTGTCGAGCAATTTACTGTACCCCCTAAAGCTAAACCCACTACAGCCTAGGTAGCAGTAAACTTATAATTTGACACACCTCCATAGGCGAAGTGGGGGATAGCAAACACAACAAAGCGGTCACAAGACCCGTCAGGAGAAGAAACAAAGCAAAGCAAGCTCAGGGTGGATCTCAAGATCACCACGCATTCTGAGCACTAGCAAGCGGCCACAAGGCCAGTCCAAGAGGTTACATAAGATATATAGGTGCGAGTACAAGCAGAGCAAGGCTACGGCAGATGAGCAAAAAGGTCAACAAGCCACCGCCTCACCCTCCCCCCACACTGGCACGCGCGGCCGTGAGAGAGAGAGGAGGAGGGGCGGCTGCTGGCTCCTCATACCCGCCACCCCCATACCCTCCAAGATCCCGTCACCCCATACCCCCCAAGATCCCCCCCCCCCCCATACCCCCCCCCCCCCCCCCACTGCTGCACCCGCAGCAGGGGGATGGAGGAGAAGGGGGGGGTGGCGGGGGGGCTGGTGCTGCAGAGCCCCTCCCCCCACTGCTGCACCCGCAGCAGAGGGATGGAGAAGGGAGGGCGGGGGGGGGGGGGCTGGTGCTGCAGATCCCCTCCCCCCCACTGCTGCACTCGCAGTAGGGGAATGGAGGAGAAGGGGGGGGGGGTGGTGCTGCAGATCCATTCCTGCCACCTCCTTACCCACCAAGATCCCGCCACCCCCATACCTCCCCCCCCCACTGCTGCACCCACAGCAGGGGGATGGAGGAGAAGGGGGGGGGGGGGGTTGGAGGGGGGTGCGAGGGGCACTCATGAGGGGGGTGCAAGGTGCACTCACGAGGGGGTGCGGGGGGGTACCCACGAGGAGGTGCAAGGGGCACTCACGAGGGGGTGCAAGGGGCACTCACGAGGGGGTGCGAGGGGCACCCACGAGGGGGTGCGAGGGGCACTCACGAGGGGGTCCGAGGGGCACCCACGAGGGGGTGCGAGGGGCACTCACGAGGGGGTGCAAGGGGCACCCACGAGGGGGTGCAAGGGGCACCCACGAGGGGGTGCGAGGGGCACTCACGAGGGGGTGCAAGGGGCACTGACGAGGGGGTGCGAGGGGCACTCACGAGGGGGTGCAAGGGGCACTCAAGAGGGGGTGCGAGGGGCACCCACGAGGGGGTGCCAGGGGCACTCACGAGGGGGTGCAACGGGCACTCACGAGGGGGTGCGAGGGGCACCCACGAGGGGGTGCGAGGGGCACTCACGAGGGCGTGCAAGAGGCACTCACGAGGGGGTGCGAGGGGCACCCACGAGGGGGTGCGAGGGGCACTCACGAGGGGGTGCAAGAGGCACTCACGAGGGGGTGCGAGGGGCACCCACGAGGGGGTGCGAGGGGCACTCACGAGGGGGTGCAAGGGGCACTCACGAGGGGTTGCGAGGGGCACCCACGAGGGGGTGCGAGGGGCACCCACGAGGGGGTGCGAGGGGCACTCACGAGGGGGTGCGAGGGGCACCCACGAGGGGGTGCAAGGGGCACTCACGAGGGGGTGCAAGGGGCACTCACGAGGGGGTGCGAGGGGCACCCACGAGGGGGTACGAGGGGCACTCACGAGGGGGTGCAAGAGGCACTCACGAGGGGGTGCGAGGGGCGCCCAGGAGGGGGTGCGAGGGGCACTCACGAGGGGGTGCAAGGGGCACTTACGAGGGGGTGCGAGGGGCACCGACGAGGGGGTGCAGGGGGCACTCACGAGGGGGTGCAAGGGGCACTCACGAGGGGGTGCGAGGGGCACCCACGAGGGGGTGCGAGGGGCACTCACGAGGGGGTGCAAGAGGCACTTACGAGGGGGTGTGAGGGGCACCCACGAGGGGGTGCAAGGGGCACTCACGAGGGGGTGCAAGGGGTACTCACGAGGGGGTGCGAGGGGCACCCACGAGGGGGTGCGAGGGGCACCCACGAGGGGGTGCAAGGGGCACTCACGAGGGGGTGCGAGAGGCACTCATGAGGGGGTGCGAGGGGCGCCCACGAGGGGGTGCGAGGGGCACTCACGAGGGGGTGCAAGGGGTACTCACGAGGGGGTGCGAGGGGCACTCACGAGGGGGTGCGAGGGGCACCCACGAGGGGGTGCAAGGGGCACTCACGAGGGGGTGCAAGGGGCACTCACGAGGGGGTGCGAGGGGCACCCACGAGGGGGTACGAGGGGCACTCACGAGGGGGTGCAAGAGGCACTCACGAGGGGGTGCGAGGGGCGCCCAGGAGGGGGTGCGAGGGGCACTCACGAGGGGGTGCAAGGGGCACTCACGAGGGGGTGCGAGGGGCACCGACGAGGGGGTGCAGGGGGCACTCACGAGGGCGTGCAAGGGGCACTCACGAGGGGGTGCGAGGGGCATCCACGAGGGGGTGCGAGGGGCACTCACGAGGGGGTGCAAGAGGCACTCACGAGGGGGTGTGAGGGGCACCCACGAGGGGGTGCAAGGGGCACTCACGAGGGGGTGCAAGGGGTACTCACGAGGGGGTGCGAGGGGCACCCACGAGGGGGTGCGAGGGGCACCCACGAGGGGGTGCAAGGGGCACTCACGAGGGGGTGCGAGAGGCACTCACGAGGGGGTGCGAGGGGCACCCACGAGGGGGTGCGAGGGGCACTCACGAGGGGGTGCAAGGGGCACTCACGAGGGGGTGCGAGGGGCACCCACGAGGGGGTGCAAGGGGCACTCACGAGGGGGTGCAAGGGGCACTCACGAGGGGGTGCGAGGGGCACCCACGAGGGGGTGCGAGGGGCACTCACGAGGGGGTGCAAGAGGCACTCACGAGGGGGTGCAAGGGGCACTCACGAGGGGGTACGAGGGGCACTCAGATACCCTCCTCTCACTGCTGCACCCGCAGCGGGGGGATGGAGGAGAAGTGGGGGGGGGGGGGGGGGGTTGTAGAAGCTGCGCGCGACGGGCAGGAACCCGTCATTCGCCACCCCCGCCACCCCCATACCCTCCCCCCCCCTGCTGTACGATCAGGGGCGGTGCAGGGGCTGCGTGGGCAACCGCAGGTCGCACGAAAAACATCCGCCACCCCCTCACACCCTCTCCCCCACTCCCCCCACAGCAGCAGGCGCAGCCGTGAGAGGGGAGGAGGCGTGGCAGCAGCTGCTGCTGCTGAGGCACATCCGCCACCCCCTCACACCCTCTCCCCGCAGCAGCGGACGCGGCCGTGAGAGAGGAGGCGTGGCGGCAGCTGCTGCTGTTGAGGCACATCCGCCACCCCCTCACACTCTCTCCCCCCTTCCCCATGGGAGGGGGGGGAGGGGGGCGGGGGCGGGGAATGAGCTGCGCGTGCGACTGCAGGGCGCGCGGGCAGGAAGAAACCATCGCGCGCTCGAGTCGTGCGACGGGTAGAAACCGACGGGCTAGGGGCCGGGGCCTAGGGGCGTCAAGCGACGGGGCCGGGCCTAGGGGAGCGACGGGCAACGGGGCCGATGGGCCTAGGGGCGTTGGGCGACGGGCCGGGCCTAGGGGAGACGGGCCGTGGCGACAGGATAATCGACATGGATCTTTACGCGGCGAATCGTGCTGTCCACGCCGGCCTATTTTCGGACTGATTCATGCGTAGCTGTTGCTCGCCCATCTGCATTTCTCTGAGGGTTAGCGTGTGATTCTTGCCCGTATGAATAAATTGTGAAAGAGTTGGGTACAAGTACTAACCCTAATTGGGTTGTAACCCGTATGGGCTACCCCACTATAGCCTACACAAATGTAAGCACTATAACATTCTGACACACCCCCATAGGCAAAGTGGGGGAGAGCAAGTGGTCACAAGCCCAGTCAAGAAAAGCAAAGCAAGCTCAGGGTGGATCACAAAGTCACCACACAGTCCGAGCACAAGCAAAGGGCCACGAGGCCAGTTCACATGCAGAGTTATACAAAAGAAAACAAACAATACAGTGATCATACCCTAGCAAGTGCAAGCATGCAGGTATATATATAGATCACAGTACAAGAAGAGTCAAGCAGTGAGCAAGTGAGGCAAAGTAGGCACAAGACCTAACACAGTAGAGAAGCGCTGATGATCACCAGGCGGAAGTGCCTTGGTGAATATATCAGCAATGTTGGCCCTAGTGGCCACGTACGCAAGACAAAGCTGGCCACGCTGCTGCAACTCTCGAGCAAGGAAGTAACGCAGAGCGATGTGCTTCGTTCGGTGCTCAAGTCTGTGCTCCTGAGGCAATCATGGCCTTGTTGTCTACGTACAGAACTAGAGGCGAACGAGGCTGCTCTCCCAAGTCAGGCAGCAGGTAGGTGAGCCAGCGTAGCTCCTGTGCAGCCATGACCCTGGCGTAGATCTCAGCCTCACAACTGGAGCTGAGAACCGAAGACGAGTGGGTAGACCGCCAGGAAACAGTGCCGGAACCGAGGCTGAAGGTGTAACCCTGTGACGACCGCTGCGTAGCTGAGTCGTCAACCCAAGAAGCGTCTGCATGACCAGTGAGGACAACTGGACCCCGTCCTCCACGCACGAGCCCCATGCCCGACGTACTGCACAAGTAACGCAGTACCCTCTTCGCAGCATCCCAGTGCACCTTTCGGTGCCTACCGGGAGCCACGTAGCGAGCCAGGAGGCTGAGAGGGTACGCGAGGTCAGGTCGTGTGCACGTCATCAGGTACATGAGGCAACCCACAAGCTCTGGGTACGGACCACTCGGCTCTACGGACTCGTCTGAAGGAGGAGCTGAGAGTGAGTGGCTGGTAGATTGAGGAGTGGGCTGTGGCGAGGAGAACTGGAAGCCGAAGCGCTGAAGGACCTGGTGCACCATGTGTGACTGAGTCAGTGTGATGGTGCGCCGTGCTCTGTCTCGGGTGATCTGCAAGCCAAGATAGCTGCGCAGTTCACCCAGGTCAGTGCAGGTGTGTCTCTTCTGCAGCTCCGACTTCACAAGGGTCAGTGCCTCAGTGTCAGCAGTGGCAAAGACGAGGTCGTCGACGTAGACAAGGACGTAGAACGGCGGTAGCAAGGTGTCGGTGCGTAGAAACAACAAAGGGTCAGCAGTAGCAGGAGCAAACCCAAGAGCCGCAAGTGTAGTCCTGAGTGTGTCGTGCCACTCACGAGGAGCTTGGCGGAGACCGTAGACTGGCTGCCGGAGGCTCTACTGGGTACTTGCAGGAAACGACCCAGTGAAGCCAGGTGGGTGGCACAGCCAGATCTCCTCGTGAAGGCTACCCTGCAAGAAAGCTGTGCTGAATTCCAGAGATTGCATCTTGTAGTCGCGCTGAGCAGCGGCGTGCAGCAACACCCGAAGAGTGGTCATCTTCGGGGTGGGGGAGAAGGTCTGGAAGTAGTCGACCCCCTGTCGCTGACTGAAGCCTCTAGCAACGTAACGCGCCTTGAAGGCAGGCGGAGAACCCGACGGCCGCTTCACACTGAAAATCCACATACCATCTGCTATGTTCGCCCGAGACGGGGGAACTGCGTCGACGTAGGTGCCTGTAGACTTCCAGGATGCCATCTCGGCATCCATGGCTGCCTGCCACTGAGAGGAGTAGGGACCCGTAACCGCCCCTGCGTAAGAGCGCGGGGTCGGAATGTCTGGTGCATCCGGGTCTCCCTCAGGGGCAAGCAGCATGGAAGCGAAACGAGGTACTGTCAGAATCCCAACCACAAGACCATTGGGAGAAAAGGGCTTGTTTGTGTAGCGAGTTTGTGCGCCCATAAACCCCCAGGCGAACGAGCATATAACCCTTGTCTAGGAACAATCGGGGATCAATCGTGGACATCTAACAGGTACAGCAGCTGCAAGACACTCAAAGTCCTCCTGCCTGTCCTCAACGGCGTCCGTGCCAAGAGCACACTCACCCCCGACGGACGGAGGACTGGCAGACTCAGACTCAGCAACAAGAGCAGTGGCGTAGTCTAGACGACAGGCAGCAGCAAAATCAACCAGCCCAGCAACGAGGGCAGACACAGCAGTGGACTCAAAGGAAGGGTCAGTGACAGCAGTGGCGAGGAGACGAGACGCAGTGGGACTGGCAGCATGAGCGCGGTCAGACACAGGGTCAGGGATGGCAGAAAGATAGGACTCAGGAGGAGCAGGCAGAGGAACACGAGCGGAACAGAGGAAGGACAAAGAGCCATAGCGTGCGTGCCGGGGACAGGAGGAGGATGTGGACGAGGAACACGAGGACCAGTGCGGACAGGGGAGGCAAGACGAGACGCAAGCTCACGGCGCTCTGTAGGGCCACCGGCCTGCTCAGTGTAAGGAGAAGGGCCAGGCAGTGGGGAGGCTGGCGGTAACGGCGGCTGCGTCTGGTCATGTGGTGGACACCAAGAACCAGCTGAAGCAGGGGAACAAAGAACGGTCGAGGCCGCACAGTGCCTCCAGCACCAGTACCACCAGCACCCTTAGCTCCAGCACCTCCAGCTCTAGGGTAAACAGCTCCAGCTCCTCCAGCTCCAGCGCCTACCACGCCAGAGCCTCCAGCTCCAGCGCCACCAGCTCCAGCTCCTCCAGCTTCTGCGCCATCAGCGCCAGTGCCTCAAGCTCCAGCGCCTCCAGCCCCAGCAGCTCCAGGCTCCGTAGGGTCTCCAACTCCAGCGCCCCCAACACCACCAGTCCCGGCAGCTCCAGTACCCCTGGTACAAGCACCTCCACGACCATTAGCTCTAGCAGTAACTCCAGCACCTCCAGCTCCAGTGTCTCCAGCAGCAGGGTCTCCAGCTCCTGCAGCTCCACTCCGAAGGCGGGTGCGCTGAGCAAACCACTCGCGCAGCTGCTACGGGGAGAGAGGCTTCGGCCAGGGAGACAGTCGTGGCGAAGCACCCTCAGGACCTCCAGCAGAAGCAGTACCCCGAGGCTCAGCACCCCCAGACTCTGCACCCCCAGGCTCCGCACCCCCAGACTCAGCGCCCCAAGGCTCCGCACCCCCAGACCCGGCACCCTCAGACTCAGCGCCCCCAGGCTCCGCACCCCCAGGCTCCGCACCCCCAGACGCAGCACCCCCAAAGGCAGCACCTCGAGCAGCATCTGAGTTGCCAGCTACCTCAACAGGCACAGTACCAGGGAGAGGGTCTACCTGAGACACACCTGAGGGAGCAGGACCCTGGGGCGGGAAGGGGTCTACCGGAGGGGGACCGGGAGCAAGGAAGAGCGACGGGGGAGGGAGAGGGGCAGAGCGGTAGGGGAAGAGACGGTAAAAGGAAACCGACTCGTCAAACGTGACGTCCTGAGAAGGGAATATACGGCGCGAGGTGGGGTGGTAAAACTGCCAGCCAGGCGCGTCAGGGGGAAAGCCAAGGAAGACGCAGCGGATAGCGCGAGCAGAGAGCTTGTCCGCGGACGTATCACGAACAAAGGCACGAGAGCCATTGACCCGGAACATTGACGCATCGCCAACCTCCCTCGTCCAACGCAGTGTGGGCGAGGTCTCCGGCAAGGAGACACGGGGCGAGAGGTTGAGCTGATGTGTAGCATACCGGACCGCAAACGGCCACAGAACATGGGGAGCAGCCGCATGGATCATGGAGGTACGAGCGACCTCCATGACTAAGCCAAAGTGACGCTCAGCAATCCCATTTTGCTGCGGGGAGGCCGGAAGCGTGAACGACTTGAGGATGCCCTCCCCACGACAAAAGTCCCGCAAGAGGTCGGAGGAGAACTCACCACCTCTGTCAGAGTGTAAACGCAGGACAGGAAGGTCCTTGCGGAACCGCTCGCGGAGCTGGAGACGGACTGTGCGGATCCAAGGGATCAAGACATCAGGGACCTCACCCTTGCTGCACAAGGGGAAGACCGTGGTGTAACACGTGTAGTTGTCAACAACCAGCAGAAAGTAGCTCTCGTGGCCCTGTCCACTGACGCGGGCTGGGCCCCACACGTCCATGTGGAGATTCTGCAATGGAGCAGTCGTCGGGGGAAACGAGGAGGAGTGAGGAGCGGCGCGCTGCCGCCCCTCGACGCAAGGAAGGCAGGGCGGGGCAGGCAAGGGCGGGAGGGGAGGCAGAGACCTGGGAAGACCAGAGACAAGGAGGCGGGAGTGCATGCCACGAAGGCGTGGCAGGGAGGGGTGACCCAGGCGGTGGTGCCATAGGAGAGTCTGGTGCGACAGGAGGCGACACGAGCAAAGGGGTGCTACCGGACCTGACGCGGACACCTGGGTAGACGCAACTACCTGAGGAGGCTCAGTAGCCAGGGTGTACAGACTCGACCCAGGCCGACGAGTGAACGTGGCCAGGTGGCGGCCCGTCCGTGTACACGAGCAGATCGACACACGCTGACCTCCAGGAGTGGTGGTAGTGACCATCGCGTCCTGTTGGTCAGCGGTACTCACCAAGTTCACAGAGAACGAGGGGAGGTGAAGGCCTGAAACTGAGCCGGATGGAACCGCTGGACACGGGAGAACATTGGAGGAACGGGCAAGGACTGGGCCCCCGTAGGGGTCAGCCAGCCTGACCGGTACAAGTGCAGAGAGAAGAGTGAGGGTAGTGCTGTCGCGAAAGAAACTGCGTGAGGCACCTGAGTCAAGTGTGAAGGTGTATAAGGCCTCAGCAGGCGCAGTACTAGGGAGAAAAGACTCACTAGCACCTAGAGCAGCAGCCTTTATACCTGGGTCAGGCGGCACACACAGGTAGCAGTCACCCTCAGCACTAACAGACAGAGCATACATAGCAGCAAGGATAGCATCATAGTCAAGTTCAAAGATGGCAACTTCAGACCTAAGCAGCTCTGCCCAGCGGGGGCGCTCGGCCTCATCACCAAACTCTACGCGCCAAGCGTCGTCGAGGCGGGAGAAGCAGCGGTGCTGAGTGTGAGGCTTCCCGCATGTCTGACCAGCACGGTCACCCGTGCGAATGACATACGGGCAGCTACCACTACCCCCAGACGCCCCACGCTGAGAAAACCACTCACGAAGCTGCTGGGGCGACGGGGTCTCATTCCGACGCTACTGTTGCTGCCGCTGGCCACCTCCCGAACCTCCACACTGAGTAGCTCCAGCCCTACCGCCACCACTCCCACTGCCGCCACCACCGCCACCCCCACCGCTGCCACCACCGACTCCACCAAAGCCCCCACTCCCGCCACCACTCCCACTACCGCCACCACCTCCACTGCCTCCACCACCTCCACTACTGCCCCCACCACCACCCCCGCTGCCACCGCCACCACCCCTGCTGCCACCGCCACCACCCGTCCCACCCTTGCCCTTGCTGCTGCGGCGCTTCGCACTAGCAGAAGCAGCCCCGACGTCCTCAGCGCCAAGGACGTCAACAGCAGCAGTAGAGGCGTAGGAGGGGGCAAGGGGGTAGGGTGAGCACCCCTCAAAGAAGGGCGTGCGCGGAGTGCCACGAGCAGCACCTACAGCGACTACACTAGTCTCAGCTGCAAGGAGGTGCTGCTCGAGTTTTCTTGCGTTTTTCATCTGCCGCTCTCTCGGCCCGCTCTCCCTCCTTCGCATGCTCTTCCTCTTTCCGCCTCTTTTCGAACGCAGAAGCAAGCTCTTTCGCGTCCTTCCTGCCTCTGCGTCTTTATCCGCCGCTCTCCCACTGCTTCCCTCCACCAACTGATTCCCCACCCCCCTCCCAGGCCGCGTCTTCTCTGCAGCGATCGCTTGCGCCCTCTGAACTGCAGTACGCTTCCACGCCTCGGCCACCTTCCTCTCCATACTCTCCTTCTCCTTTTCTCTGTGCAACTCCTTCACAGCCAACGACGCTATCCAGTTTGTACTCACTGGACCAGACAAGTCCAGATCCGCCACACCAGCACCCGCCTCACCCTCCTCATTCGCCTCATCCTCATATGTTGCGGCAAACCTTTCCATGAATTCTTGTGCTGTGGAGATAGGGATCTCTGGAGAATCTGCTTCGAGCAGCGTTCGCGAAATTCGAGGTGTGGCCTCTGCCCTGGCAGCAGGTGGAACTTCGACCCGGATAGGTCCGGTCAGCCCTTTGAGTTTAGCTGCCAATCCTGCCAGAGCCTTCAGAAGGGCTTTGAAGGTCTGCTTGTTTTTTTTTTGTCCGAATTTTTTAGATCTTCCCACACCGTGTATACACTATCTTCAAAAGCCTTTTCGAGGGGATTCACGGACTCGGGCGCCATCGTGGCTTCCAGCTTCCCCCCTTTTGACGCTTCTTACATCGCCTGCTCCACCACACCCTTGAGCCTCTCCGCAACCGTGTCGAAAAACCTTGCAAACGTTTCCTCCAATGTTCCCACAACCGCTGCAGCAGCTGCTCGACTTGCATCAGCTGCTGCCGCTCGTGTCTTGGCTGTTGCAGTCGAAAGAGCAGTACGCAATTGGACGAGCTCGTCGCGCTCCCGGACCACTGAATCCTTTTGCACGTGGTACTCGTGTGTTAGATCCTCGTAGTCCTGCAAGTAGCGCAAGTCCCATCCTTGCATCTGCGAACCAAACTGTCGAATCTCGGCCATGCAATCGCTGAAGCGAAAACCTTACTCCGACGAAATCCTGGCCACAGACCTCGCCACCAACGTCAGACGCCGCATTAACTCTGGCGTAGTATGCACCCTGCCGCGAGCTGCGATGCGGTCGCCGGCCTCCTCAAATCCTCTCTCTGTCTCCTCGAAAATCTGGGGTCCCGCATTCTCCAGTCCCTGAAGTTGCCTCTCCACAGCCACCCATTCACCCTCCTCTAATTCCTATGCCTGCACCGCAGCAGGATTCTCTGCCGCACGTGGATGGCGCCTTTGCATAGGGAGAGCACTTGCCGCACTCTCTAGCTCCTCATCCACCCGTCCTTCCACCTGCCTCTGCTGATTCTCCCTTTGTCGCGCTCCCCCTACTCCCCATCCCGCCCCACGCCAGACCTGCTCCTCCGCCATTCTCTCACCTTGTAGCGTTCAACGCGCTTCACCCTCCCGCCGACCAGCTTGCCTTGACTGCTCGACCCTCAGACGGTCTTCCTCGCCAACCCTGTTCCGAGCTGTTTGATCATCACGTCGGCCACCTTCCCGCTGCATCACCAGTCTCGGTCTGCCAGTTCCCAACCCCACTAAACCCACCTCCGCTGCCCAATGAACCGTCGTCCCCTGCTGCCCCTCGGTTGGCTGGTCGCCAACCACCACTTGCCGAGCTCCTTCCCCTGCGCCCCGCCCTGCTTGCGTTTGAAAGACCCTCTCGTCCCTCTGGCCCTCTCTACCTTTCGTTCCTCGGCGAAGCGCCCCCCATCTCACGCCGGTCATGCTCCTCCCGTCAATCCCTCTAGCGCTCCGGACCGTGATGCTCACCGACTTCCTCCGTCGGTCTTGCCACTTGCCTTTCGCGCTCGAGCCTTTGCAACTCCTTCCTTCGGCGTTCTCGTTCCTGCCTCTGCCGCGCCTCCTCCCTTTCGCGCCCCACTCGCCTCCCCTCCTCTAGCCTCATTTTCCTCTCTTCCTCCTGCCGATTCGCCCGTTCGCGCGCCTCATGCTCCTCGTCCTCAAGTCTCTTCCGCTCCCTTTGAGCCTTCTCCCTCGCCTCCTTTTTGCACGCTTCTCGCTCCTCGTCCTCGACCCTTTTCTGCTCTAGTTCATCCCTCTGCCTCGCCTCTTCCTTTTCGCGCGCTTCTTGCTCCTCATCCTCCAGCCTCTTCCGCTCCCGCTCCTCCTTCTCCCTCGCCTCCTTTTCGCGTGCTTCTCGCTCCTCGGCCTCCAGCCTCTTCCGCTCCCGCTCCTTCTTCTCCCTCGCCTCCTTTTCGCGCGCTTCTCGCTCCTAGGCCTCCAGCCTCTTCCGCTCCCGCTCCTCCTTCTCCCTCGCCTCCTTTTTGCGCGCTTCTCGCTCCTAGGCCTCCAGCCTCTTCCGCTCCCGCTCCTCCTTCTCCCTCGCCTCCTTTTTGCGCACTTCTCCCTCCTTGTCCTCAAGCCTCTTCCGCTCCCGCTCCTCCTTCTCCCTCGCCTCCTTTTCGTGCGCTTCTCGCTCCTCGTCCTCGACCCTTTTCTGCTCCCGCGCATCCCTCTGCCTCGCCTCTTCCTTTTCGCGTGCCTCTCGCTCCTCGCCCTCCAGCCTCTTTCGCGCCCGCTCCTCCTTCTCCCTCGCCTCCTTTCTGCGTGCTTCTCGCTCCTCGTCCTCGACCCTTTTCCGCTCCCGTTCATCCCTCTACCTCGCCTCTTCCTTTCGCGCACCTCTCGCTCCTCGTCCTCCAGCCTCTTTCGCGCCCGCTCCTCCTTCTCCCTCGCCTCCTTTTCGCGCGCTTCTTGCCCCTCGTCCTCGACCCTCTTCCGCTTCCGTTCATCCTTCTGCCGCTTCTCCTCGTTTTCGCGCTCCACCTTCCTATCCTCCTCCCTTTTCCTCTCCTCATCCTCCCTCTGCCGCTTCTCCTCCTTTTTGTGCTCCACCCGCCTCTGTTCCTCGAGCCTCTCATTTTCCTCCCTCTGTCGCTCCTCCTCTTTTTCGCGCTCAACCCACCTATCCTCCTCCCTCTTCCCCTCTTCCTCTTCCCTCTGCCGCTTCTCCTCCTTTCCGTGCTCCACCTTCATATCCTCCTCCCTCTTCCTCTCTTCCTCCTCCCTCTGCCTCTTCTCCTCCTTTTCGTGCTCCACCTTACCATCCTCCCCCCTCTTCCTCTCTTCCTCCTCCCTCTGCTGCTTCTCCTCCTTTTTGCGCTCCACCGGCCTTTGCTCCTCTAGCCTCTTCCTCTCTTCCTCCCGCTGCTGCGCCTCCGCCTTTTCGAGCTCAACTCGCCTCTCTTTTTTGAGACTCGTCCGCTCCCTTTCCTCCCTTTCCCTCTCCCCCTCCGAACCGCGCACCTCTCGCTCCTCGTCCTCGAGCCTCATATGCTTCTGTTCCTCCCTTTGATTCGCCTCCTGCTCATCGTGTGCTTCCCCACCCAGATCATACCTCTTCTTTGTTTGTGCCTCCTGCCTCTGATACACCACCCTATTGTCGCGTTCCGCCCCCTGCACCGCTTCCTCCAATTCACCGACGACATTCAGACTCCCCTGCCTCATTTCCAAACCATGCCCCTGCTCATGTTCGTCATTCTGCTCCTGGAGGTGCACTGCCTCGAAAGCCCCTGCAAGCTCCTCCTCAATCCTCTCCCCTTCGTCCCTCTGCTGTAGGGCCTCCGATCCGCAATGCACGATTTTCTTCTCTGCTGCCCTCTTCTGCGTCTCCCTCATTCCACGCAAGATTTCGTGCGCACTCTCCCTCCGATCGGGTGGTTCCTCTGTATCCATCAGCTGACACTCCCCATCCGTGATGCTCTGACGCTTGTTGGCCGGACCCATTCGTGCGCCGTCAGCAACCACCGCCCCCAATGCGACTATTTCCGCATCAATCTCTGGCGGGGGACCTGTGTCCTCTGCAACAGGCCCATGTTCGTCCAAGTTGTCCACCTCCTCCCCCTCACCCGCAGTTTCACCCCCCGCTAATTTGTCGAAATACTTACCACAGTCGGTGAGTAGCCCATCCAGAATATGCTCTCGACGGTAGTGTGGGGTTCCCAGCACTAGGAATTTCTCCTCTCTATTCCGCTGCTGGAGAATCGCGTCGAAATTATCGAGCATCTTGCACCACTGGTAGGCCACGTGAAGGCCTGAACCAACCTCCCTTTGGCCGAGTGACTGAGTTAGCTTCTGCACGAAATCGAAGTCGAAGCTTGTTAGCATCTGTCCATTTTTTAGAATAAAATATGACTGTTTCGCACGGTTAACTTACCGCCGTTTTGACGAGCTTCCACCCGCTAATGATGCGGTTGCGAATGTCGCCGAATGTTTCCTTGGTCTCCCCGCCCAACTTCGCTTCCCCTCTTGAATACTCCATCAAGAGCTGCACCTCCAGCCACCTGCTCAACATGTGTTGTTTCGGGGAATTCTGTTAGAGTTGATTAACTCGGCAACGCTCGCAGATGCTGGTCTAATTAAGGATACTCACTCGACAATTTGTTGGGCGAGAATGGTGTGCTTGTGTGACGGAGAAGACATCTTGGGGTCGAAATGCAGAAGACGCGTCTAAACCGGAAACTTTCTTGTCGACCGTGAGACTGTCAGGGCGTACAAGTACAAAGAGGCTACAGCGCGCTCCAGGGTCGGTAGTCATACTGCATGGGGTGGTGTAGCAAAATGTTAGACAGCCTGTAGTAGCCAAGATTCTCTAACAAACAATACACGTTTCGAGGAACAACGACAGACCATGTAAGCCTCGCAGTTCGAGCTCACCTGGACCATAGCAGAAAGACGCAGAGCTGCTTGCCAAGGAGACCTGTGAGTCTGCCAGGACCCATGGGTTCCAACGGGCATTTTGTCCTCGCGACGTTGACCTTACTCATGGGGACGATTTCTGTCATAGGATCGAATTTCCACTCGAGAATGTTGCACTAAAGGTGAGTACAAGGCGTATTTATACTCAGAAATACATAGAAACAACAGATAATCCGAACCTTCGGGAACGCGCTCTTCTAGAATAGATAATCACAAGTGCGCATAAGCACGCAAGCCCGTTGGCACTTCGGATTATGGCGAGATTACGCCTTGTACACCACTGTCGGTGCTGTCGGTGCCGTATAATGTAAATGTCGGTGCCGAAAATACCAAATAAGTGAAATAATCGGAAAGCTCTAGAAAATAGAATAGTAGTCCGATTGAGGTGAAATAAAGTGCAAATGAAAGAGGAAAATATGGAGAATAAGATGGAGTAAAAATATGGAAATGAGAAATATGTCGAACGTCGGCGTACTCTCACACTTCCCCCCCTCAAAGCTGGGTGGTAGATGTAACACCCTGCTTGACAAGATAGTCGCGGAGAGAACGTCGGGCGTTACTCATGTCTTCTTCAGAGACCCAGCTGTCCTCAGAAGGATCATAGCCTTTCCAGCGTACGAGAAACTCCAGGGCGCCATGCCGACGACGACGTTGTGCAAGCACAGATTCAACCTCGTACTCAAGTTCATCATTCACGAGGACTGGAGGCGGCGGCGGAGGTTGGCGTCCCGTGTACAGCTTATTTGGATCTTGATAAGGTTTTAAGAAGCTGCACATGGAAGGCGTTATGAATCTTCCAAGAAGCTGGTAGGCGCAAGCGGAATGTGACTGGAGTGACCTGCTCTTCTACGAGGAAAGGTCCGCAGAAGCGAGGTCGTAACTTGGATGGAAGGTGACCGAGGTTGAGGTTGCATGTGTCGAGAAGCACATGGTCGCCAACCGCAATGGTATGATCACGTCGATGGCGATCGGCCAAGCGTTTCTGTGAAGACTGTATGTCCTGTAGACGCTTGTGTGTCCGATCCCAAAGCTGCTGCATTGTGGTAACGAAGTCGTGCGCGGGTTGGACAATTGCAGGTACTGTCGGCTGTTGTGGAGTTAGTGGATGTCGTCCGTAACAGAGGAAAAATGGGGTCTCTCCTGTTGCGGCATGCTTCGCATTTATTGTAGGCGAACTCCAACACCGGCAAGTGCAAGTCCCACTTGTTAATGTCGTCCTTGCACGCTGCGCGCAAGAGTTGTTCCACAATTTGGTTCAAGCGCTCTGTCTGCCCATCGGTCTGGGGATGATATGCAGATGACATTGCTAGGCGTGTCCCCATGAGCGACATGAGCTCTTTCCAGAACTTGCTAGTAAACTTGGGGTCCCTGTCGGATATGAGGGTTGTTGGGATCCCGTGCTGTGAGATGATGCGTTTGAGGAATAGCTGTGCCGTTTCCTCCGTGCGTGCGGTTGTATGTGTCGGAATGAAGTGTCCCATCTTTGAGAATTTGTCGATGACGACCAGGATGGCGTCATGCCCCGCATTGGTAGGTGGTAAACCGGTGATGAAATCCAAGCTGACCACTTACCAAGGCTGTTCCGGGACGGGTAAAGGCTCAAGAAGTCCTGCTTTCTTCTGCTTACTGCTTTTCATCCGCTGGCACGTGTCGCACGAAGTGACAAACTTTTGCACGTCGTTTGCCATGTGAGGCCAGTAGTAGACTTTCGCAATCCCGGAAAGAGTCTTGTTACTCCCGAAGTGTCCAGCGTAGAGCACGTCATGGAATTCTTCGAGAAGCAACTGCCGAAGAGGCGGGTAGTTGGGTACCCATATCTTTGTTGATCCTTTGCGTAGTGCGACGTCGTGGTCCCACTGCAACAATTCTTTTTCTCTGCTAAGGGAATCTCGGGGTCGATGGTATACCCGTGCATGAAGAGTCCCTTTAGTAGCGGATTCATCCCCTCAATCTGTATGGCGGCAACGTGTCCAGGCCGGCTCAGTGCGTCTGCCTTATTCTTGTGTCCCGGCTTGTACACGATGTCGTAGTCGAAGTGCGTCTCGAGGAAGTCAATCCACCTGACTTGTCTTCTGGAGAGGGTCGGCTGCGTCTTTAGGTACTTCAGGCTGCAATGGTCAGTGTAGACCGTGGTCTTTCTCCCTTCGAGGTAGCATCGCCATGTCTTGAATGCGGTGATGATCGCTAAGGCCTCTTTGTCGTGAATCGGGTAGTTGAGTTCTGCCCCGTGCAATTTCTTGCTGAGGTAAGCGATTGGTTGTAGTCCTTTCCCTTGGTCTTGCATCAAGACTGCTCCAACTACTTGGTCGCTAGCGTCAGCTTCGATGACATAGTCTTTTTCTGGATCTGGCAGGATCAGGACGAGTGCGGACGTGAGTGCGGTCTTCAACTGCTCCATGGCTTGCTGGTGCACATCTTCCCACTTGAACGGTGTATTCTTCTTCAGTAGATTGGTGAGAGGTGTTGCAATCTTCGCATACTGTGGCACGAACCGATTATAGTAGTTCGCAAAGCCAAGGAATTGTTGAAGTTCCTTCACGTTCTCTGGTGTCTTCCACGTACGTACGGCTTCGATCTTCTTTGGGTCGACATGGACTCCTTGAGCGCTCACCATGTGTCCAAGGAACTGAACTTTCTTCAAGGCAAACTCGCTCTTGGATAGCTTGACGTAGAACTTCTCCCGTCGAAGTATCTCGAAGACACGTCGTAGGTGTTCGATGTGCTGCTTCATGTCCCTCGAGTAGATCAGGATGTCGTCCAGGTACACCACCACGCATTCGTCGAGTAGAGGCCTAAGAATATGGTTCATTTCGGCCTGGAATGTAGTGGGTGCGTTGGTGAGTCCGAACGGCATGACGAGGTACTCGTAGGATCCGTATCGTGTCCGAAACGCTGTCTTATGGATGGAGTTATCCGCCATCCGGATCTGCCAATATCCCGATCTCAAATCGAGATTTGAGAATACTGTGGCTCCACGAAGCTGGTCAAGTAGATCGTCGATCCGTGGAATCGGATACTTGTTCTTGATCGTCTGCTTGTTGAGGGCTCGGTAGTCGATGCACATGCGTAAGCTTCCGTCAGGTTTTGGTGTGAAAAGCACTGGTGCACCGTATGGTGATGTTGATGGTCGAATGAGTCCTTTGTCCAGAAGGTACTTGATCTGCTTCTTCATGTCGGCCAACTCGGTAGGGCTGAGTCGATATGGTGCTCGGAAGGTCGGTTTTGAACCAGGTTCTTCGATGATCTCGTGCTGGTGGGTTCGGTATGGCGGCAACTGGTCTGGAAGGTCGTCAGGGAGAACGTCTTCGAACTCTTCTAGAAGTTTCTGGATTGCTGGTGGAAGCTCGAGCGTTTTTCTCTCTCCTTCGTCCTCGTTGGTAACCAGTGCAAAAAACCCTGCCATGGTTCGCTTCACGTCCTTCTCGAAGCGTGCGAGAGTCTCCTCCGGAATATCTCCCGTGTTGCTCCAATTCGGAAGAGGAACTCTTCTGTCTTGATTGTAAATACTCGCCGTGCGGGTGACCCAGTTGATCTCGGGGTTGAACTTCTTCAGAAAATCTCTCCCAAGAATCAAGTCTAGCCCTTTGATGTTGGTGACGGGTAGGGTCGGTTTCCAGCGAAGAGGACCCATCTGCAGGTGTAACGCTGCTTCGCCGTAGACTTGTAATTTGCTTCCGTCAACCATCGTAGCTGTGAAGTTTGAAGGCGTGTACTTCTCATTGATGCGTTCGAGGGTTGCTTTGTCGCATACTGAATGGGATGCTCCGCTGTCCACGAGTGCTTGGAGGCGTCGTCCATTGCAGATCACCTCGAGCAAAAGTGGTTGGCGTTGCTCGTTGTACCCGTTGATCGTCTCGTTGATTAGATCATAGGGCATTTCCCATAGCTCTGTGTTTTCTCCTGGGGTGGCAGATGGCCGGTCCTGCCGTTCCCTATTGCCATGATTTTTTGTTGTCGTCAACGACGTGGTTCTCGAGCTCGTAGTAGAATTCATAGATGGGGTAGATATCGTAGATGTTTCAGATGTTGCAGATGCATCTGTAGAGGAGGTTTGAGGTCGTCGCAGCTTCATGTTGACCTCCAGCTCCCTCTTGAGCTGCTTCAGCGCCACCGACTTCTTCCGTGGGGACCGGTTGGTCGACGTGGGCTGGTTTTTCAGAGAGAGGACGATGTCGTCGTTGGAAGGTCGATCTTCCATGCTCCGTTGTTGGTTCCCCATGCGCAGCTGTTGTAGTTGTCGTACCGGTACATTCTTTTTATTCTGGAGCCTCTCTCGTGATTTCACAAAGGCCGTAGACCCAAGGGAA